GGTGGAGCTGGGACGTATCGCTGCTTTTTGGCTGGGACTTGTGCCTCTTTAAATATGTACACAGGACATTGGTCGTCAAAACTGCGGTGTGTACCTCCGCAATTTGCGCACTTTAGAGCTGCACCAGGAGGACAGGATGTGATTTCGTGCGCCTCAGCACACCTGGAACATTTGAAGTTCCGAGTGCAATTTGAGGAGACATGCCCCCATCCTTGACAACGGCGACATTGCGTTAGGCTTTGTATAATCTTTGACGTTCAGTTGATGAAAGCTACTTTGAGTTGATCTATTACTAAATGCTCAGTTTTTAGCACGAAATTGTTTTTGGCGTTCAACATTACTTAATACATTTCGCTGCACCAACTTGTATCTGAATAGAACTAAAAAATCAATTATTTTTGGTGATTTGAAGATGTTCTATCTGTTTAAAATATACTGTAAAACGAGGAAGAGCTATAAAGACAGGTTACACTTGACACACTATATAATATGTAAGCCATCGCGCGTAGATTAAACATACATAATGTAAGCCATCGCGCGTAGATTAAAAAAAATATTCTAACTGAACTATTCCAAGACTAAACATTTTTTAACTAAATTGAGAAGGTTTAATCATAAAGGAATCAAAAGGTATTTGAAGAAAAAAATAAAATTTTGATGAGTGGCAAACACAATTAATCATTTAAAATAAGCCCTAATAAATTCGTTTTACATATTTTGTAACTATAAGCTGAAGACAGATTCGTATCGTCTTAAAATCAAGAATGCGTTGCGTGATAGAAAATAAGAAGACGGAACCCATAATTCTGAAATAACCGAGGAAAACTCAAATATTTTTTCAATTAAATTCAAAACATATTTATTATATATTATTACAACACAGTAATGATGTTTATCAGTTTATGTTAATTATGAAAGATTACAAAATAGATTTCTAAATATTGATTATTTGTTGTTACAAAATAAAATAACAAATAATAGAACATATTTGTGAAGTGGGTAGTTTCCACTACTTTTGAGCTGCCCTCTAATGTGGTTAGTGCACCACGGGAGTCAACTCTTTCGGAGAACGATGTGATTATTC